TTGGGATGTTACATAAATACACTGAACACTTTATTTTCTCAGCTTACATCCTTAAGCTGTAAAATAGAAGAACAATAATGTGTTGAACTTGTACTTCAAAGTCTACCGGATTCGTATGATCAACTCATCATCAACCTGACAAACAGTAATGTCACTAGTATAGTCTTCGGTGACATTGCAGCTGCTGTTCTATAAGAAGAAAATCGGCGCAAGAACAAGGAAGACAGACAAGTATATCTGCAACAAGCAGAAGTATTGAAAACGATGAGAGGGAGATCAACAGAACGTGGCCAAAGCAGCATTCACAAATATGGTAGATCGAAGTCGATGAGCAAGAAGAATTTAAAGTGTTACAACTGTGGAAAGAAGGGTTATTTGAAGAAGGATTGTTGGAGTCTAAATAAAAACTCCAATCCACAAGGCAATATCGCAAACACTTCAGATGATGGAGATACTTTATGCTGTGAAGTGTCAGCCACCGTGGAAGGTAGAAAGAGATATGCAGATATATGACTCATTGATTCGGGAGCAACATAGCACATGACCTCAAGAAGAGAATGGTTTCATCATTATGAACCTGTCTCAGGAGGATCTGTGTATAGTTGCAATGATCATGCCTTAGAGATCGTTGGCGTGGGAACCATCAAATTGAAGATGTATGATAGAACGATTAAAGTTGTTCGAGACGTGCGGCACGTGAAAGACCTGAAGAAAAAATTATTATCCTACGGATTGTTGGATAATAATGCAAGCAAGATTGAAATACGGAAAGGAATCATGAAGGTGTTCCGTGGAGCGCTTATGGTGTTGAAAGGCGAAAAGATAGCAGCAAACTTGTACATGCTAAAGGGAGAAACTTTGCTAGAAGTATAAGCCTCTGTTGCCTCATGTAGTTCAGATTCTGCAATGTTATGGCATCAGAAACTAGGACACATGTCAGAAACAGGAATGAAAGTCCTTTTGGAGCAAAAGCTACTTCCAGGCTTAACAAATGTATCACTTCCTTTGTGTGAGCATTGCATAACAAGTAAGCAGCACCGGTTGAAATTCAACACATCAAATTCTAGAGGAAAAAATGTTCTAGAATTGGTTCACTCTGATGTATGGCAAGCACCAGTTATATCCCTAGGCGTAGCAAAATACTTTGTCTCATTTATTGATGACTACTCCAGGAGATGTTGGGTGTACCATATTAAGAAGAAGTCAGATGTGTTTTCAACTTTCAGAAACTTCAAAGTGCGGGTGGAACTTGATTATGGAAATAAGATCAAGTGTTTCAAAACAGATAATAGAGGAGAATACACAAGCGAAGAATTTGATGACTTTTGCAAGAAATAAGGCATCAAAAGACAGTTCATAGTGGCGAACACTCCTCAACAAAATAGAGTGGCTGAGTGGATGAACAGAACCTTGTTAGAAAGAACAAGAGCAATGTTGAGGGATGCATGCCTAGAAAAATCATTCTGGATAGAAGCAGTTAATACCGCCTGTTATTTGGTGAATCGAGCTCCATCAACTACAATAGAGCTGAAGACACCAATTGAGATGTGGACTGGTAAACCAGCTGATTATTCAAACCTCCATGTATTTGGAAGTATTGTGTACGTGATGTATAACTCCCAAGAAATCTCAAAGCTGGATCTAAAATCCAGGAAATGCAAGGTATGCTGATGGAGTCAAGGGGTATCGCTTGTGGAATCCCACTGTCCGCAAAGTGATCATTAGCAGGGATGTTATCTTTGTAGAAAATAAACTACAAAGAAAAGAAGACGATGATAGCGCTGAAAAGTCAGAGACTACACAGATACATGTGGAAAATGAGGTTGAACAAGGAGATTCTTCAGAAGCAGAACCAGCACATAATGAACAAGAACCAGAGAGTTCTGAAGCTCCAACAACTCGTCAATCAGATCGTGCGAGAAGACGTCCCAATTGGCACTCAGATTATGTTATAGAAGGTAATATTGCATACTGCCTTTCAACATAGGACGGTGAGCCATCAACATACCAAGAGGCAATAAACAGCTCAGATGCTTCACTATGGATGATGACGATGCAAGAGGAAATTAAAGCCCATCATAAAAATAATACATGAGACCTTGTGCCACTACCACAAGGAAGAAAGCCAATTGGTAACAAATGGGTCTTCAAAATCAAGCAAAATGGTGATGATCAAGTGGAGAGGTATCGTGCAAGACTGGTGGTCAAAGGATATGCTCAAAAAGAAGGTATTGATTTTAATGAAATATTTTCTCTTGTGGTTCGACTAACAACAGTTCGAGTAGTCTTGGTAATGTGTGCTGCATTGAACTTACATCTAGAGCAGCTAGATGTTAAAACAACTTTTCTTCATGGAAATCTTGAAGAATAGATTTACATGCTCCAGCCTGAAGGTTTTGAAGAAAAAGAAAAGAAGAACTTGGTTTGCAAGTTGAACAAATCTCTGTACGGTCTAAAGCAGGCGCCGAGGTGTTGGTATAAGAGATTTGATTCCTTCATTATGTGCCTTGGATATAACAGACTTAATGCAGACCCTTGTGCTTATTTCAAGAGGTCTGGTGATAACGATTTTGTTATATTGTTGTTGTATGTGGATGACATGTTGGTTGCAGGACCCAACAAAGATCATATTGAAGAATTGAAGGCACAACTGGATAGGGAATTTGAAATGAAGGACTTGGGATCAGCAAACAAGATTCTAGGGATGCAAATTCACCGAGACAGAAGTAATAGGAAGATTTGGCTTTCACAAAAGAATTACTTGAAGAAGATCTTGTCACGATTCAACATGCAAGATTGTAAGCCAATTTATACCCCTCTTCCTATTAACTTCAAATTATCCTCCAGTATGAGTCCTAGCAGAGAAGAACAGAGGATGGAGATGTCTCGAGTACCGTATGCATCAGCAGTGGGAAGTTTAATGTTCGCTATGATATGCACAAGACCAGACATTGCACAAGTAGTGGGAGTGGTTAGTCGGTACATGGCGAATCCAGGAAAAGAGCATTGGAATACAGTGAAGAGGATCTTGAGATACATCAAAAGGACCTCAAATGTTGCATTATGTTATGGAGGATCAAACTTACTAATCAATGGGTATGTAGATTCTGACTATGCAGGGGATTTGGATAAAAGCAAATCTACTACAGGATATGTGTTCAAAGTAACTAGTGGAGTTGTAAGCTGGGTTTCAAAATTGCAGTCAGTTGTGGCTACTTCCACAACAGAAGCAGAATATGTAGCAGCTACACAAGCCAGTAAAGAAGCAATTTGGTTGAAGATGCTTTTGGAGGAGCTTGGGCACAATCAAGAGTATGTCTCTCTATTTTGTGACAGTCAAAGCGCCTTGCATCTAGCAAGGAATCCAGCATTTCATTCAAGGACAAAGCACATACGAGTTCAGTACCATTTCATTCGTGAAAAGGTGGAAGAAGGGGCGGTAGATATGCAGAAGATCCATACCAAAGACAACATAGCAGATCTCATGACCAAGGCGATCAGTACTGATAAATTTACTTGGTGTCGATCCTCTTGTGGCCTGTCAGAGACGTAAGCAACATGAAGATACAAGGTAGAAAGAGTGGTGTGAAGATATGATTGTTCCAATCAAATCTTCAAGTGGGAGATTGTTGAAAGTTAAAAGCAAATGGGTGGCTGGAAGTCATAGCAGCCGACGTCTGCTTTTTTTTAATTATTATTTTTGTTGAATTATGCAAGGGATAATTACAACATTTAGTCACTAAACTTTAGGGTATTTACAAATTAGTCCTTAGGCTTCAACTATAAATATCCTAGCTCATTTAGCTTCAAAACTATCCCAAAGCATTCTAGCTTTCTTCCAATACTAGAGAAAATTTAGAGAGTTTCTTGAGAGTTGTTTTCTCCTTTTTATCAAGAGATAATTATCATTGTTTTCTCTTTTGTAGATCGAGAGAGGTTGTAATTCCTATTTTCTCATAGTGAAATTCTTCTACTGTTGCCCGTGGTTTTTACCCTATATTATTTAGGGGTTTTCCACGTAAATTTTGTGTCTTCTTTATTTTTATTTTTTTCAAATTATCAGTTGCGATTTTGTTCTATTCGATAGCCGTCTTCCGCAACAGAATATGCTATAAGACCTTTGTTTTATTCTATCTTTACAATTAAAAAAATACAAATCATATCCTTAATCCCATTTTAAAAATTAGTTGTTACCTTCATTACATTGCATTTTAAAACTAAAAAAATTACCCACTTAACACCCATTAATAAAAAAAATGACGTACCATATACTTACGAAAAGATATTTAAATCCTCAAGTATCGGCTTGTCTTATACTTTATAATACAGTATGCAAATGCCATTAAATTATATAAATAATTTGATTATTTATATTTTTAAAATTATAAAATGAATATTATATTTTAATTTATTAAAAAATAATTATTAAATTTTAATAAATTATAAAATAATTAGTAAATCAATTGAATTATTATAAAATAGTTTTTAAATGCATTAGAATATATCATTATTTTATAGCTCATCATTTTATAAAAATTTAATGATAATTTTTTATTTTGTTTTAAATTATAGTGACTGAAAAAGATTATGCTGATTTGATTTAATAGATATTTATATATTTATCGTATATTTTATTTTTACTTAAATTTCTCTTAACTAAATTCTTTTTTTATTTTATATTTGACGTACCATGAAATATTTATTTTCATTACATGGCCGTTAAATGATTATTTAAAAAAAAATTAAAGTATAAGCCAGCAAGCTTAACAGTTTTTATTTCAAAGGTGTTAAGGATGAGAGTTGAATTTTTAAATAGTCATAAGGATTAAATTCCTGAAAATGAAAATAGAGGGACTGGATTCTCAAAGCACAAAACGGACAGGGGGCTATAACATATATTAACCTTAAAAAGTACTAGTAGGCAGTAGCGTTCTTAAATGGGCGTCCCAATGTCGGTAAGTCCTTGAATGGTTCCATTTCTTTTAAATATTTTCAAAGAAAAATTCTCTGATACTTTTCATCCGAGTTTTACCCAGAATCAGGGGTGATTTTCTTCCACCGATCCCTGGGTTTTGAGCTGATTTCTCTCGTGTCATCTCCGTAAATTCAAGAATGCCGAAATTGAGACATTCTCGGTTGCAGGCGAAGAAGCTGCCGACAGCGACGCTTGTATTATTCATGTTGTTTATGTTAACGGTAGTTTTATTGATGCTTTTAGGACTAGGGATTTTCTCTCTTCCGATAAACAGTGATGATTCTCCGCCCACTGATCTTACTTCTTATAGACGCATGGCCTCTGAAAGGTAATTGTGTCCTGATGGTTTGATTTCTAAGCATTGCTCTTTTTTTATGAATAGCGATGTGTTTTCTGATTGTTTTCGTTGATTTGATTTGGATGCAGAGGAAAAGGCTTGGGGAAAAGAGGGCAGCAGTGGACTGAAATCCTTTCTTGGGAGCCTAGAGCTTTCATTTATCATAAATTCTTGGTTAGTCTCTGGTCTATTCTTAACCTTGTTTGTAATATATATTTATTACAGAAATCTATCAAGGTTTCTTGCGTCCTTGAGATATTTTGGTCAGTATAAATTAATTTGAAATTGCCAATCTGATCTCGTCGTCGATTGTATACGACCACGCTAGAAAGTTCTGCCATTAATGTGAATTAGGAAGAGTATTAATTGTCCCTTGGAAGTACAATGTATTCGATTAGTCAAATAACATACATGAAGGGAATTTTATTTAGCCCTTTTCTTATTGCTGAATTGGTATAACATACATGTATATTGGAATTGAGGTCTTTCTCTTTGTTAGTAATAAATAATCATGAATGTGGTAATAAGATTATTTTCTACTACTTTTTTCATTGGGTTGTTGTTTTGATTTTTACTCGTTTCAACAGTCCAAGGAAGAATGTGAATACCTAATCAGTCTTGCTAAACCTCACATGGCAAAGTCCACTGTTGTTGATAGCAAAACAGGGAAAAGTACAGATAGCAGGTTTGTTTCCTATCCCAACCTCTTCTTGTAGTTATAAATGTTAAGATGTGATATTAAGGAATCAAACTGCTCTTTGTTTTGGATTGGGGGGAGGGGATAATTTAAGATATTGAATTTCTTTCTCCTGTTTTGTTTTATTTTGAATTTGAAAGTTATAATGCTATATCTTATTTGAGGAGGCCTTTTGTTGGCAGACCAATTATGTGTTAAACTCTGAACCTAATCTTACATTGACTTGTATTGTTCACAGGGTGCGTACAAGTTCTGGTATGTTTCTGAGAAGAGGGCAAGATAAAATCATTAGAAACATAGAAAAAAGGATAGCTGATTATACTTTCATTCCTGCAGGTATGAGATTCTAATACCAAGTGAAACCTTCTGTGTGTAGTTTACTCTGAAATCAGTAACTAAACCTTTTTTGTGCAAAAATCTGTTGAAGATGTCCTTTTTTTCTCCTTTCTCTGCAAGTGCTTAATTTAAACTTGAGTGGTGACCATGTGCAAATGGAATATTGGTACATGTTTCTCTATAGCATATTATTACAGCTAATGGTGACCATGTTTCTCTATAGAATATTAGTACATGTTTTGTTATGTGTTTCTTTTTGCAGTTAAATGGATTGCTATCCTTTCTTTTGTGGTTTATTGTTTTTTTTCTCTAATATGTCGTGAAGCTAACTTTGTAATACACAGAGCATGGAGAAGGCCTTCAAGTTCTCCACTATGAGGTTGGACAGAAATATGATGCACACTTCGATTACTTCCTTGATGAATTCAACACTAAAAATGGAGGCCAGCGGATGGCTACTGTGCTTATGTATTTGTAAGTTTTATAATTTTATCTGTTCATGTCTTTGATGCATTCCACAGCCAATCAAGTTTCACAGAACCGCTTTCCTCATTTCACCTTTCTATATTTGAAAAATAATAGGATTTGGCATCTCTTACCTTACTTCCTGCCACTCATGCAGGTCAGATGTTGAAGAAGGAGGTGAGACAATATTTCCAGCGGCCAAGGGAAATGTTAGTGCTGTGCCTTGGTGGAATGAATTGTCTGAATGTGGTAAACAGGGTCTAGCTGTGAAGCCAAAGATGGGAGATGCATTGCTGTTCTGGAGCATGAGGCCTGATGCCACACTAGATCCTTCAAGTTTGCATGGTCTGCTACAATCCTTTTCTGTACCATTTTTTGGCTTTTTATCTTCAATTGTGGTTCAAGAATGATTAGCAGTTTTGTATTCCCATAGAAAAAAAACTGATTTGTTACCATGTGCTCAAAAACTATTTTTCGTTTTATCTTATATCAGCTTTTACTTATCTACTGCTAAAAAAATAAACGAGTTTATCTGTGTTTCTTATGGCTGATGCCAGGTGGGTGCCCTGTGATTTCGGGGAACAAATGGTCCTCAACAAAGTGGATTCATGTTGAAGAATACAAGGCTTAAGCTGCTGTATAGAGGTATCTGAATACACTATAGTTAGTTTCACTGGAAATCACTGGTTTAGTAGGACTGGGTTCAGCTCTTTATAGAGCTTATTAGATGGTCACGACGGCCTTTTAAGTGTACAAAGTGATGGATTGGGGGTGCTGAAAACTTCAGATTCCCATATATTTTAGATATTTTCTTTGTATTTTCTAATAATTTGTTTTTGTCCCCCCTAAAATTGTATAAGTTCCCCTAGCATAAAGTTATACGTCCGTCCCTAAGTCCCTAAGTGTACGCCATGAAAAAGTTTACAAATTTACATTTTTGGGCACTAGTAACCTGCATATGCCAAGGGTCAAGGACCATTCTCAAAATTCAAACATTAATTACAGAAGTTTATTAGCTGAACTAGTTAGCTCTTTCAATGTATTGGGCATGCTTGGGTATTAATACCTTGTATATGCAAAGGCTCAAGGTGATTTGTTGGTTGGTTTGAAGGTGTAGATTTAAATGAGATTATGGTATGCAGTACTACAACATGCTGAAACATAGTAGGTTTGGCTTGGTTGCTTTTTGGTAGTAAGCTGGATTTTAAAGGATGTTCTTATTTATCGCCGTAGACATTGTGGCTAAGAACCAAGAAAATAGGAAATATGCCGATTCAATTGATTCCGTGCTTTTTTTTCTTGACAGGATGACAGGGTACATCAGTACATGTTATAACCGTGCAGTTCTGAGGAAGTGTGATTGAAGCAACCCCCTTTAGACTCGGGTCCATCAATCTCTTTTTGACGGGGCACGGTGTCTCTAGACCTAATCCTTAGGTTGAGAAGTAATTGTTCTCGTGTATTCTGCTGGAAACTATCGGGTTAAGAGAATGCGGTTCATACGTGTTAGGTCCTATAAAATCCGATTGTAAAGTAGCTAAATAATAATGAATAGAAGTATCTTGGAGCTATTGTGAGTCTGGTGGTTTTAAAATCAAAAGTACGTACTAAAGTTACCGGCTATTTTGTTGTTAACACACTGATGTGGCCCATAGTTCATAAAAACAGAAACAAGCTGGATAGACAAAACTTCACCTACTTTTAGATAAATTTTGATAAATTAGGGTGATGACTTATAAGCCACTCAATATTCAACAATGCAATTCCCGCTGGAACTCAGCTCAGCTCAGCTCAAAGTGTGAGACGTTTTTATTCTACTCCTGGTGCAACCTCACTGTTTGTAGGTTTGTTCTGTGCGAAGAAAAAAAATGTAGGCTAGATGTTCTTGATGATGAATGAAGAAGCAAGTACCGGTTGCAAAGTAAATCTGATTATTCCTTAGAAAAAAATGTAGGCTCGATGTTCTTGATGATGGATGACAAAGCAAGTACCGGTTGCAGAGTAAATCTGATTATTCCTTAGAAATAGGCTGCATATCAGACATTTAATACTCGTACGGCAAGCTTCTCCTCGTTAATAATAATATTATGATGCTAGGCAACAAAAGTTTTGCTTTCACGTAAAAGAAAACAAACAAATTAACTAGTTCTTTTTTTTTAAATAGTCAGGGTTATTTAGTGTAGTATACATTCAAATATTTTCTTGGTTTATTGACAATACGCACAGACTCTACAAATATATGCTCAAACCTGAGACCTTCCGGAGAGAACAACATTCTGCTCAATGGGTTCTAACTAGGTTTAAATATAAATGGGATGCTTAGACACTTTTTCTCAAGTAAATCTAAACTAGATCTCTCTCAAGATAGTACCTAAAGAATTTTTTTGTTTCCAAATTGGTACCAAACTTTAATTCCTTCCACTATTTTGGTAACATAAGATCTTATGTTGTCACTTAAACAAAAGTTGACCCCATGAAATATTACCAAAATAATGGATAAAATTAAAATTCAGGTTTCAACTTGAAAGAAAAAATTCTTAAACCAACTTAAGGTACCAAATGTACGCATAAGGCGAACTTTTGCCATCTTGAACCATATTCGCAGCTCTACTGCATTAAGCATACCTAATATTAGCACACAAACACATCATGCAGAAAAGATGGATCCAATGATACGACTAAGTGGCATTTGGATTTTCATGCAAGTAAAGTCGAACATATTAGAAATGGTTCCGGATAATTTAGATTCTCAACCAGAATCTTTACCTTCTCAATGCCAATTCTTTGAAGACTACTCAATATTTCCCTAAAATCAGGAGGGGGTGGGCGTGAAAACTGCATCTTCTCGCCTGAGTGTGGATGTTCAAAACTACAAACAAATAAGCAAAAGCAGATATCACTTCTGATGATTATGAAACAGAAGCAAAACAATAAGTTAGGTTTTATCCCCTAACCCGAGGACTAAAGCATTTAGGTACGGCCTCTCCAATCTAGACACCAGCAGTGAAACTTCATCGTTATACTTAGGGAGGGTCCTCGGGTGAAGCAGTGACAAGGCCATGTTCTTTGTCCCTCCGTACACCTCATCACCCAACAAGGGAATTCCTATGTACTTTGCACGTGTACGAATCTAATTCACAATCATAAAGAGAAACAAATTACGAACATGTGTGAAAAGTACACTGATCTGATATCTTGTAAGAAAAAAATTATCAGTTTTTGTTCAAACGGATATAAGCATTCCAAAGTTGACACTTTCTATAGAAAGAACTTTTCAAATCATGTGCAGATTGGAACCTAATGAGTACGTCCAGTTTCCAATCTCCACTGAACCAGCGCAGAACCACCACTGGCTAGTACTTCAATTACTTTATATCTGGTAAAAGGGATCCACGCTTATCTTTCTTCCGTAGTTATTGAACTGTCAAGATAGAAAAACGTAATGAGAATTATAAATCACCTACTAGCAGCATGACAGGCTCGTCCACGATGACTTAACCCTGGTACAGCAACCATCCGGATGCGGTTATTTGAATCACGACCAATGGGAACATTCACACGCCCGGCAGAAGCTGAAGGCACTCCACAGGTAAGACTAATGTACACCCTCTGGATTGTATGTTGTTTAGACTGTTCCGACAAATGGGCATGTGAATGTTCATCCTGCCATACATCAACCATAACATGAAGAAAAGTATGTGATTTTGAAACTTGGAACAGCAAAATAAAAAGGAAAAAAGACTAACCTTCGCAACAACAAGCAATCCACTGGTGCCTTTATCCAGTCTATGTACAATCCCTGGCCGAACAGAAGATGCTGCTGCACTTGTGCCACTATAAAGGGCTTCTTCGTCATTAGACAAATCCACTGTGTCTGAAAGAACTTCCTTTTCGGACAATGCTAATGTGGGTAAACTACAATGGTGAAGAATTCCATTCACTAATGTCCCGTTAGCATTGCCGGGTCCTGGATGAACGACCTCAACCAAACAAAGCAGTGTGCCAATGTCAGAGTTTTACAGTCTAAAGTGAAATTGCAATAACATTTTTTTCAAAGCTCAAATTCAATTACCATATGTGGAGGTTTATTAACAAGAACATGGTCGTCCTCGAAAACTATATCCAATGGGATATCTTCTGGCTCTGCTTTCAATGGCTGCAAATCCGAAATCAAGCAATTAACCTTATCGCCAGCTCTCAAGCTATACGAGACCTAATTATAAACTTAAAAGGTTAAACTCAGAATTGTCCAAATGTAATAGCAAACGTTAAAAATGAGCCACCTTGTCGACGACGAAGCCATTGACTGTTGCATGGCCAGATTTTATACTGGACTGAACTCGAGCTCTGCTGATGTCTCGAATTCGAGAAGAGATCCAAGAATCGAGCCGAAGCTTGCCTAGCTTGGTCTCATCCACGGTTTCTTCAATTTGAACGCCAGCATAGCTGGTTCTAATCGGTTTTTCATGTTTGGCGGCGAAATTGGAACTCGAAATGGAGGCGCGTCTAAGGATTCTGGAGAAAGTAAAGGGAAGAAATTTTGGGTTTCCAAGGAAGAGGAAAGAAGGGGGGATCTGAAGGGATTTGGTTGAAGGAAAAGGATGTACAATCTCTTCAAACATCTTATTAAATCACATGTATATATTAAGCTTCGTTGATCATTTATTTTTTTTTAAAGATAGAAGTTCTTTTAACGTTTGTGTGATCTCTTTTTAGTATAGAAAAAATTTTATATCTTCAAAGGTATTCAAATTTCTTCAAATCTCTTCAAGAATAATTATAAAATATGATTATTTATTAAAATAATTTTAAATAATTTAATATGGTTATTTATTTTAAAATAATTTATTTTAAAATAATTTATTATAAAATAATTTATTTTAAAATAATTTATTATAAAATATGGATTGATTTATTTTAAAATAATTTATTTAAAATAATTTATTAGTATGGATTGATTTATTTTAAATAATTTATTAGTATGGATTGATTTATTTTAAATAATTTATTAGTATATATTGATTTATTTTAAAATATGGATTCATTTATTTTAAATAATTTATTAGCATGGATTGATTTATTTTAAAATATGGATTGATTTATTTTAAATAATTTATTAGTATAGATTTATTTATTTTAAAATATGGATTGATTTATTTTAAATAATTTATTAGTATGGATTGATTTATTTTAAAATATGGATTGATTTATTTTGAATAATTTATTATTGTAGCTGTATGGATTATTTAAATTTCAGTATTGTAAAACCTAAATTATTTAAATCTCAGTATTGCAAAACTCTTTTAAGTTTAAAAAATCAGTTTATTTATATTTCAGTTCATTTTAGCAGTCTGCAGACGTTAAAAAACAAACAGTCTTCTTCTTGCATACTACAGACTTTTGGTCCACCTCTTCTGCTGCAGATACCTGCATATGTGGTCCGCAGACTGCAGACCTTTTACTTTGCAAAAACAAACACCACCTAAGACGTCGTTTTGAATCATATATTAAAAATTTCGGGGTAAAATAGTAAATGGAGTAAAGTTCAATGATGAATTGTATAATTTATCCTTTTTCCTTTTCTTCATTTTCTCTCTGTATACCATCATCCACCATCGTTAAAGGTAGTCGTTCGGTCCCAAATTTCATGAGTCAGTTTATATCGATACCTGAGTTCGAATATGGTGGTTGGTTCATCGAAAAATGCCCTCAAACTTGTGAATCATGACTGAAACATTTTGGCTTCCTTAATTTCAATCTCAAATTCATGAACTTCGGAGCAACTTCCGACAAAAATGGAGGTCGGATTTGAAATCACGATGTCAAGGCGACATGACCTATGAAATTTGGGACCGAACGACCACCATCTATGACAGTCAACGATGGCCGACAGTGACAGCTGATCACCTTTTAATTTTTTGTTATTTTCTCAATTATTTTATATTTTTAAAAAAATGTCATCATCAGGTGTTAGAGAGAAAACAGAGAGTAAACAAAATGATTCAACTTATAAGTTTAGTGACCAAAATAGAAAAATTAAAAGTTGGGTGAGAAAGATATGAGAGAGTATAATTTGGTGATGAACGGTGTAATTTACCCTTGAAACAATTAAAGGTTTAAATACGAAAAAAACGTTTCTGTGTTATTTTCGAATTTTGTTATACTTAATTTTATGAGGAAAAAATTATATTATTTTTACTTTAAATTCTGAAAATAGAATAAAATTATTCTTAAAAAGAACTGAATTTAAGATTAGATAAATAAATTACATATATATTATTGTTAGACGAAAGCAAACTTTAGCATTGTGAAAGAAAAACAGTGTCTCTCTACTACATTGACATTTGTCCGTATTAGTGATACGGGAAGGGAGGAAAACCCTCTCTCTTCTTTTATTTACATAAATTTTGTTGAGAAGTTCGAGGTGGCATTTTTATTTATACACAAGGTAGAATCCATGATGAAGATGATGTGGTGATTGGTGTTGATCTAAAATCCCCCAAAGTTCCACGAGCTGCAAGCAGTTCACTCGGCTCATCTTTCACATACTATCACCGTCTTGAGTTCCCCTTTTCATCATGGCTACGAACTCCTCATAATTGATCCTCCCATCCTACAGATTCATTTATCCAACACCATTGACAAAGTAACAAAAAAAGAATTCATCAATGAACAAGAAGTGTAGGATT